CCCTCACTCCTAGACTCACGTTTCAGTTTGAAATCAAGTATTATTTTTATTTGATAAATTCAGACTGAAATTAAATAGCCCATAGTATGGAATTCTATGTCCTCATTGTAAATCAACAAATTCAATACATTTACGAACATGTTATATTTGTGAAAATGTATTAATACCAACATCGACATCACCAGTAAACAAAAGAAAATCTTATTTATTTTTTCCGTATTTATATTTCAATAGGAAAAATGAACTTCAATTTCAATTCCAACAATATCAAAACAAACTAATACAATGATGATAACATGTTCAAAATGTTTTCGTTTAAATAATCCTAATGCTCGTTTTTGTGATTGGTGTGGTGCATATCCTGATCATGCATCTACATCAATACAATGTACAAAATGTCATACTAATAATGATTCATTTGGAAAATGTTTTTCAACATGTGGATGTGTTCTTGAACCACCATTACGTATTATTGATACACGTCTTTAAAATGATTTGAATATTTCATCGCCATCATTGATTGCTAGTGTATATTAAAATTAAAGAATAAAAAGAAAACAAAAAAAAAAGATTCTTGTTTTCTATAGACATTAACACGTAATTCAGCTAATCCTGTATGGCTTAATGCAAATACAACATTGACTAATTATCATCAATCATATTCAACAATTAAAAAAGAAGCTGCAACACAAACATATGGAATTTATTATCCAAGTGCAAAAGATATTGATTTAATTATAACACAAAATAAAAAATTATTAAATGAAAAAGAATTAAAAGAATATCGTCCAATATTAACATCTACAAGTCCAGGAAAAGGATATTGGCGACAATAATTAGATCATACTTGTGCTCATTTAAAAACTTATGCAGTTAATCGACCAGATTTTCAATCATTGATTGGTAAAGATCTTTAATATTTAAAAAAAACAAATACTTTTATTTTGTTACAATGAATAATAATTATTATTTAAAATATAAATTCTCTTTCTCTCTATACATATATCTTATATATTAATATTAAAAAAGTTTATATATTATTTAATTATTTTTTTTAGGTGAACCACGTATGGGTAATATGATTCATGCAACTGTACATGAAAATGAATATCAAGTAACTATACAAACAGTATTTCGTAAACCAGAAAATCTTTCACAATCACCATTTTTTATTAATGAAACAAATGAATATTATCCAATAAATAGTGAACGAAGTTCCCCATATTCAAATACAATTTATTCTGATAGTAGGCAAAAATATTCTTTGCAAAAAAAAAAGCTTTGTTTTTTACATAGATGAATATCCAAGAGAAATTACAGAAAATATTGAGTGTAAGAATAAAATATTTTATTATAATTTATTTTTGTCTTATTAATTATCTATTATAATTAATAGTCAACTCATGCATTAATTCGATTATTTGAAGAAAAAAAATAATAATTATAATAAAAAATCATCACATCAAATCGATATATTGAAAGAAGTTCAACGTTTAATAAAAGAAAAAGCTGATGTTAATATTAAAAAATAAAGAAGGTTATACGATTCTACAATTGGCTATATGTAATGGATATTATGAATGTTTAGAAACACTTATTATAGATGGAAAAGCTAAATTAGATAAAAAAGGACCGTAAGTTCTATATATATATATATCGAGATTTTAATGTCAATTGAAATCAAAGATTGACTGTGTACTTTTTCTTTTTTTGTTCATTGATATTCAAAATGTTAAGAAATATTGATTTTGTTTTGTTTTGTAGACGAGGTAATACAGCATTACATGAATGTTGTTTATTAGGACTTGATGGTGCTGAACCATTAAGAATTCTTCTCAAGTAAGTTTATATTTTTTAATTAGAAATTAAATAAGAAAATAATAAAATTTAATTTTTTTTTTGATAAAAGACATGGAGGTGATGCATCTTGGTTAAATGATAAAAATGAAAGTGTTATTGATATAGCAGCAAAACAAAATTGTCCAGAATTATTACAAGCTTTTTCTAAATATCAAAGTGAAAAAATGCTTAAACAACATATGAAAAATTCTTATGATGATCATACAAGAATAAAAACTATTCATGATCATCATTCATCAGAAAAATTATAAAGAAAAGAAAAAATAAAAGTTCTTTTTTTTCTTTCTTCACATTGGATAATAGTTGATGAATGTTTGTTTTTAGTTTTTTTTTATTATTGTTTTTTCTTAGCAACTGAGTGCTTCGTGTTTGAAATTCTTTCTTTGATACAAAATCTTACTGGGGATTAACAAAACTAATAAATAATGTCAAATAAAATAAAAAAAAGAATATGAATTAATTTTTAGTACGACTAATGTAGATGGTTATTATTTTAAGTCTTCTTCACTTTATCATTACAATAAAATTCGCTAAATTCTGAGTTAGATCAATTTATTGTTAGGATGATTTGTAATCTATTTTGATCAAGATTTTATTAATAAAATCTTAAAGGTTGAAAAACGATAAAGTTTACAAAAAGAAGGGACTTGTTATCAGCAAAATTGTCTGTACTTTCTTATAAAACTGTATACAACGAGATTTAGCTATCCCATGTAAACACCAAACGCAGGATATACGCGTTCCACCGCGGTTTTGTTGTAAACCGCATTCAGACGCGGCTAAAATCGATTTTTACTGCGTCTAGACGCGATTTTATTGCAACCGCGTCCAGATGCGGTTAAAGAAAATTTTTAAGCGCGCCTGGACGCGATGGTAAATGAAACCGCGTTTGAACGCGGTTAATAAGAACTGTTCAAATGCGTCCGGACGCGATTTTATTTCGAACCGCATCTAGACGCGATCCGATTTGGAATCGCGTCTCCAGTGAGACATTTTATGCGTCTAGATGCGGTTCGAAATTAAATCGCGTTTAGATGCGATTGCTAACAAACTGCGGTCAGACGCGATTCAAACTAAAACCGCGTCTAGACGCAACAAATGTTTCAGTGGAGACGCGATTCCAAACCAAAACCGCGTTGGAACGTGGTTTTAGTTTGAATAGCGTCTGAACGCGGTTTAATTTCAAACCGCTTCTAGACGCGGTTAAAAGTCAGTATGTATCGCGTCTAGACGCAGTTTTATATGAATCGCATTCAGATGCGGTTAAAGAAAAGTTCGAAACGCGTTTGGACGCGATTTTAAATGAAACTGCATTTACATGCAGTTAATAAAAACTGTCCAAAAGTGCCTTGACGCGATTTCATTTCTAAACACATCTAGACTCCTTTGACTGCCGCGACTTAGACGGAAACGTAATGCGGTTCAGGCGCGCTTTGATGCAAAAAATATTTTGTAGAAATATAGGCGAGAAGAGGAAAGCTAAAGTATTAAAAATATATGTGTGCTTCTCATCATTTTGAAAGTCAACCACTCATTCATGCTATACACTGCCTTCAATAGCGTTATAGATTCATAAGTTTTGGAGACACCATTCTTCTACAAACAGTTATAAAGACGTGTGCCGAAAATGTCCTGGATATGTATAAGAATAGTGAATTACGTATTGAGAAATCTGAAGATTGTCTATTTGTTTGTATTAGACTCAAAATATCAGGTTAAACCATCTCTAGCAGGTTGTATTTGGGATATACGAACGAGACTGCATCATCTTGTTATCAATTACTGACTAATGAAAAAAAGTATGATTCTCAACTATCATAACCGATGCTGATATTTAAACTTTGCATATATATTACAGATATATAAAAACTATTCTACACTCATTTTTCGATGAATTCATTTAGTATATCATCATCTGAATCATTTTACATAATGAAGTTCGATTAACAGAAAGAGAAATTATTGCATCACATAATCCTATATATTATATTCATTTATATTCGAAAACGCCAACAAAAAAAATAGACACGAGTTCTACATCCATCAAATTATTATTTGCCGATATCATCTATAAAATTGAAATATTTAAAAAAAATGTTGAGTGCTCAACTATTTTCACGTTTTTTTTCATGATTTTTTGTCCATCATATTAATTAGTGCGCTATAAATGTGACTGTGTCTTTTGTACGCTTGTTATATTCGTACTTTATAGCAAAGAAAAATGATTATGTCGATGAAGACATCAATCTATTGATAAAAATGATTAACTTTTTGATAAGTTTTCATTTAGCTCAACTGTGTTTTTTTTTCTAATCAGAAGCAAATTTTGTTGAGGTTTCTTGAAATCTCTCAATGAATTTTTTTTTTAAATGTGAAAGTTATAATCGAAAATCTTTTTTGATAGTTTTATTACGTAAGGAAAAAGAAAGACAAAATAAATACATATTATTTAATAAAATATAATAAGCAAATAATAGATTCTGAAACATCGGTAGTATTTTCAATTGAAAACAATAAATTTTATAGAAAAAATGTGAAGAAATATTTTTTTCAAAAGGAACAGTTTGTAGCAATTTAAGGAAAGTTTTTAAATATATATACAGTTTATTTAATGGATTTCTTTTTCATACACACATATATATATGTTAATAATAAAAATATTATTTATACAGAAAGCATTCTATTGATATATGTATTTGTAAATAAGATATAAATTCATGATTCATATATACTTTCTGCTTCATTCGAGAACGATTGTGGTCACATGTGGCTTCACGGTACGTATACTTGCTTCTTAATCGCTAGTTCACTTGTTCTAATCTCATTTCTATCATTTTAGATATATCAACATTTAAACATTCCGTTTGCCTATGGTGAGGTAAAGACTATCGTTAGAGGATATCGATGGCGACTCAGATCAAACCTGAGACGGATTGTAATATTTTTTAAAAATTTTAAATATCGAATCGAACGCGTCTAGACGCGATTTTCTCCAGCCGCGTCTAGCCGCGATGTGATTTAGAACCGCGTCTCCAGTGAAACATTTCTTGCGTCTAGACGCGACTTCTAACAACGCGGGCAGACGCAGTTCAAAATGAGACCGCGTCTAGACGCAAGAAATGTTTCACTGGAGACGCGTTTTATTGCGTTTCTTTGCTGCGATTTAAACGCAACGAAACGCCATTCAGACGCGTTTTGATCAAAAAAATATTTACATGGGATGTTTGATGTCTACAGAAAGATTAAGTTATAGAATGTTTTCATGGAAAATACTTGATTCAATTGCTTATATATTCAACTGATCTATATGAAAAATTAAGCTGTTTTAGTTCTCTGCTGAATAGAATGTGAATATATGAGAAACAATTATTTCTTGCATTTCTTTACATAAGGATATGATTCATGTCGCATACCATTAAATCTGGACAATAGGGTGTGGTGTGGATGAAGAGAATATCTATAACCAAATTAGAAAAAGTAAATTGTATGGGTACGTATCAATGTGTATCCAACAGACTTTCTCTTGTCCAAAAAATGAATTAACAGTTTTTTTGTCATACGATATAATCACAAAGAGTATACATTCACACTAATAAAAAACATATCATATGTTTACACTTTGATATGTTAAATATCTTTCTTGTTGTGGGAAATCGAATTACTATTTTTTCGATAAGATTCAGCCGCATCAAAGTGATCCAATCTCGATCATTGATTTATTTTTCAACATGTTTTTTGAACTAAATTTTACTACAGTATGATACGTTTTATTTTAGTATTTTGACTGAGCCAAATGCCAGACGTCAAATTTATCGATGATAGAAAATATTTCATATTGTTTTGTTTTTTTTTTCGAAACGAAGGTTTTTGAAATAGTCATTCTCATTTATATATCACTCAAATGCTTTCTTACGGTGAAAATAAGAAATTTTTGAACAGTTCTTCGATTTTAATGATCTTTTTAACATTATACTAATCATACTTCGTACATAGATTCTAACGTTCTTTTAACACACAAGGCAGAAATTTTCTCATTGTCACTATGATGCACATTAAAATTGTACGAATCTCACATGTGGATAAACACAAT